TGGTGGAGGGTGATGACGGGGGATCAGGAGCACGATTATTGTTGACTGTCGACGTGGGGGCGGGGCAGAGGCAAACGAAGATGCATCAAGCTGTGTCGTCCGGTAGTTGGTTCGAAGATATCCAATAAGATTGACTTATGCCCGAAGCATTCGATGGCAGTGAGGGCATGTTGGGGACGGTTAAATGCTGGTGTTGGGAGACGGCGCAGTTGAGATTTTCAAGCATCGCGTTTGGCTTTGGCGGCAGTTACGCAGCTGGCTTGGTAGTTAGTCGCGCCCGTCTTCACTGTCCTCTAATCGGTCAGTCGGTTCCGAGCGAGGTCTTCCTAGTTTGCCGGGTTGATCTCAGAATGTTCTTGTTGCATTGTTTTGGTCCTTCCGGTCGGCGAGCACCCGTGGCTATATCTCCATTGAAGAGTTGTTTTGGTAGGCGAGCGTACTCCATTCTCACCAGATGTCCGCTCAATCTCAGTTACCTCAGTACGGCATAGATACTGAGAATTCTGGCCCGTTCCAGGACTTCCGTGATTTGGATCCCATCTGCCATCTCAGCTTCAGTATTCTGAAAAGGCAATTGAGCTGAAGGTGATTGAGCTTCCTGGCAAGGCTAGCGTAGACGGTCCATGTCCTCGTTCCGTACAGGAGTGTCGTCAAGACAATGACCTTGTACATCTTCAGTTGAAGGCCGTGACAGTCCCACACGGAGGCTTGCAGCTGGCCAAAATCTGGCTGGCTTTGGAGAGCCGGCGGACAACCTCATTGTCCATGTTTGTGCTTCACCAGAGTGTGTCTCCTAGATAGGCGAAGTTGCCCACAATTTGAGTTGGCCGCCGTTGACAATGATCCGAGGGGATCTGCATTCAGCGTTGGGTAACGACTGGTGCTGGGCCACCGTGTTCGCCCCGTTGATGGTCAGACAAAAGTTGTCGCAGGCGGCGGCGAAGAGGTTCATGCTCCTTTGCATGTTCCCTCAGGGGTTGCGTTGAGAGCTCAATAGTCGGGGAAGAGAAGTTCGTGGACGTTAATTATGGATACACGCGGCTGAAAGTGTATCCGCCGATGACTGGAGAGTTGCCATCCATTCTCTGGGCAACGCGGATCCCGGGGCGTTTGCCACGATAGGTGTCAATAAGCATGGGAGTGAACATAAGACTAAAAAGTGTTGGCCGAGGACGCAGCACTGCTCCACTCCTTTGGTTACTGCGAATGCCTCTGAGGAGGCTCCATTGTCCGTGACGCGCCATCGGGGAACTGACGCGCCATATGAGTGAACTGCTCGGGGAAGCCGAATGACTGCATGGTTATTCAGAGCCTTTCGGGATTCATCGTATCAAAGGCTTTCATTAGATCCACGAAGGTAGTGTAGAAATGGATTCGTATCTCCTTGCACTTCTCCTTCAGCTGACGAGCTGCGAAGATCACGTCTGTGGTCCGGCAGTAGACCCTGCTCCAGATGGTGGTTCAGGCGATTGAGAAGAATGTGAGCGAAGATCTTCCCCGCGATGTTTAGCAACGAGATGCCTCGATGGTTGTCACAGAGCTGGCGGCTCTCTTTCCGCTTATAGAGATGGACGATTGTGGTGTCCTTGAAATCTTGAGGGACTTGTCCCTGACGCCACATCTGGAAGAGCGGTGTCAGCTGATTCCCAAGTTGGGGGCCGCCGTGCTTGAAAAGCTCAACAGGGTTTGCGTCCGATCCGGGCGCTTTCCCGCTAGAAAGTTGTTGCTCGGCCCCAATGGTTTCGTTGTGAGGGCGGGAGGTTAAGGTCGGCCTTGGTCTCCACTTGAGGCAGACAGGCAGTGGCGGCGTCGGAGATGATGGACGGACGGTTTGAGACGCCCCTGAAGTGCTCAGTCCATTGCTGAAGAATTTGTGTCTTCTCCGTGAGTAGGGTACTGCGGTCGGCACTTAGAAGAGGATCGGTTCCTTTGGATGTGAGACCGCAGACAGTCCTGATCGCGGTGAAAAAGTTCGTCCATTCGTTACGGTCCGCGTATCCTTGGACCTCCTCGGTCTTGCGAACCATCCAGACGTCTTGCATCTCAAGCAACTGCTGTTGCACAAGGTGGCAACTATGGTAGAAGGCTGCTTTGTTGACGTCGGTAGGGCGATTGTGTAGGTTTTATGCAGACGATTCTTCTCGGCAAGTAGGTTGCTGATGGCAGCGCCCTTGTCGTCGAAACAGTCCTGATGTTGACGGCATGTGCGATCGAGGACAGCCAGCGCGGTTGTCTGGATCGTGTCCCTCAATTGGCATCGTCGGTCCTCCACGGAGGCGTTCTCATCGGCGGCAGCGGCGGCGACTTGAAGGTTGGCTAACCTATGGGCTAGTTCACTGCTGAAATGGAGATGGCGAGCAGGCAACGACAACAAAGAAATATCCGACTTACCTGGAGGTTGCTTACCTTGAGGTCTCCTACGAGACTATAGGCGAATCCGTACCTTAGAGACGTTGAGGCAGTGGCCAATCCACAAGTCGGCGCTCGGGATTGCCTTTGTCACTAACACATCCGCTGGTCTCGCCTCCCGACGAGGACATAGTCCATCAGATGCCAGTGTCGCAACTGAGGATGCATACCGGTGGCCTCCTCTAGCGTCAGAAGGCGAAAGAAGGTGTTTGTCTGGGTTAGGCGGTGCACTGAGCAGGTTTGCAGGAGGAACAGGCCATTTTCATTGAAACCGTCAAGACCATAGTGACCCAGCACTCCTCTCCAGGCAGCATGGTCTGTGCCGAAGCGGGTCGTTGAAGTCACCAAGGGCAAACAACTTATCCGTCTTCGGCGCAGGCACCAGGAGGGCGTTCAGGTCCTCGTAGAATTTGTTCATCCCCTCGTCAGAGCTGGTCGTTGGTGGGTCGTAGACGCTGATGATGGTGGCGAAATGGGATCCCCGAAGAGAGAGGCACAGGCTCATCAGACGGTCGTTGATATCTTGCGGCGGACAGGGCAGTCATCCCACGATGTTGTTCCGGATGGCAAAGGCGATGGCCGCGTCTCGTCCATCTGCCTTTGGGCGACTGCTCCAGAAAAAGGTGTAGCCGGCATCCAACTCCTCCAGTTGGCCTTTTCGTCGAACCGGGTCTCGCTGAGTGCAGCGATGTCCACCTTGTAGCGCGCCAGCCCCCTAACTACTAGCAGCGTCCTTCTTTCCGGTCGGTTTCTCCTTGGATTGCCTAAAAACGAACGGACATTCCAGGCTATCATAGTGGGCAATTTAGACCTAAAAGCCTGTGAAACGGAGCGTAGGAGAAGGGGAGGGGGGTAAGAAAGATTGTTGTTTCTTATTTTTTGGTTTCGACCGCAGATAATGCAGTCTGCAAGTCATAGTCTGCACGCAGGTGTCCTGAACCCAGCATTTTTCTGCGTGCCCCCTCCCCCCCCCCACGAGGGGTAAGCAGTGCTAGTCCCAAATTCGGCTGCTGGGTCGTTTCTGACGCCTGCCGCTCTCCAGCATGGGTCACGTATTGATTTAGTGGGAGAACGACCAGATTGACTTGGGCCGCCTACGTGACTGCATGCCCCCTTCTCTGTGGGACGTTTCGATCATGGGGGGAAATAGTATGGTAGAGAGTAGGCAGGGTAGAGAGGTAGGAAGAGGGGTGGATGGGAAGGGGGTGGGGGAGGGGGGGAGACGAGGAGGGAGGGAAAGCGGGGAGGAGAAGAAGAGAGATGGGGAAGTTGGGACGGGACAGGGGAGAGGAGTGGGATCAAAGTGACCCTTTGCGGGGACACGCACACGGATACCCTCATCTGGTTTAGCCCGCCGGTCAAGGCGGTTGCCCGGGGTGTGGACGTTAGGCTGGTCCTGGCTTTGGGGAGCCATATGTGAGAGCTGGGTGCCAGTCAATAGGCTCGAGTCGTAGTCGACGCCTGCGAGCAAGTGCACGATCTACTTAGGCCATCACGCAGATCCCCACTGGACACCCCTAGACCCGAATGACCATATTCTGTTGTATAAACGGTCTCAAAGAAGTATCTATTGAATCTGTTCAAAGAATCAAAATAGCGTGTGTTCATGAAAATTTGAAAGCGTAACAATGTCCCCTCATGAAACGGTCGGAGCATTGAAGATTTATTGGCAGCACATTAACCAGTATTATGTTTAGTTCGCAGAAAACATGGATATGAACTACAAACATCCTGCCGACAGCACGCTATTCATTTAGTTCGATGATCCTTTCGATTTTGAAAATAAACAAAGATAATTCAACGTTTCTGATCTACGCAAGTGCCACGAGTGAACCCGTGAACCACCTGTGTTTGCCCTCGTGTCTAAAAAAATCACGTTCAGGTGGTTGACAAAATGCCTCAAACCAAGTCAATTTGGGACCCACTCGCATCCAGTCCGTAACGAAACCCTACGGTATTGAAATAAAATTTACCTACGTGAACATGCATTAGTAGAACTTCTGTCTGGGGATTATAGGCGACTTACGTCTATGTGTAACCGCGTGGCAAACATTAGCGTCCTTCGACTACTCCTGCATTGTCTCACTACAAGCCGATCATGTGGAGTGAATCAGTTTTAGCATGATGCTGCATTTTTATGAGATCGTGTTAGCGTCGTTCACACAATCCTCCCGCCAATAGGTAATTACGCTTGTAAACTGCTAAGTGTGTTTATGAATTTTGCCAATTTTGAGAAGGAATTAGCCTCAAGACATCGATAGGCACTACAAGTGTTTTTGCATATTTTGCACTTTTCTATTTGAGAATCTACAGTCCAAAATATTTTCTCAAGTCTCACGCAGTAGACGGCCACCCTCTTTCTGGTCCGTTCTTCTTTTTTCTCTGCGCAGCCCTCTTTCTCCTCCGTGATCAACTGAATATAGCCAGATTTGCATTAATTACAGCAGCAGAAACCTCAAAGACAGAGATGCGCAGATGGCCGAGTTGGTACAGAAAGATAGCATCAGACAGTCTGAGGCGAATCATACCCAATGGTTGTAGACGGCGTATAACTAAACTGCGTCGCTGTAATGATGAAACATCCCCCAACAGCTGGTAAACTGCTCAGGTATCATATGACTGCAAGTAGATAATAATCTAAAGATAAAACAGAGCGATGAATGAAACCGGTGGAAAAGAGGCGTAATCTTAGCAAACTGCTCTCTGACAATCTGTTATTCTGTGCAGCAGTGAGTTCTGGGCCTTTCAAAAACAACGTCATCTCAAAATAGGGACAAAAACAGTAAGACAGAAGAAAAATGACGTTTCACACAACTATGATTAAAAAAGAAGTGGGTTCAGCCGGTCAGCTTCAGCGCGATAACTGTGTGACATTCAGAAACTGCCAATAGACTGCCGGTAGCATACTGAGTCTGCATGACTTATTAAACTGACGGTACAATCGCCAGCCAAAAGCCCGGACAAGTTTATAAATGACATTCCGATGGTGCAAAGCATAGCTGCCGGAGTGTCGACGCATCAGCATCAAAGGCTCGTTAAAGTAAATGTTTCTGATCGAAAACATCTTCCGGTACTATGATTACAGAAGAACGAAACTCTTATCTACTGCCCCTTATCCTCAATCGCCTCCGGGATCTCACATTCTTTCCTCCACCATCGGTCATGATTTCAGTAAAAATATCTAACGTTCAGGACATATCCATAAAAACAAAACAAAATTTTTGAGTGCAGTCGCACCAGATGAGTCTTTTTCGGAAACATTTAGAACCATTTGAAATACTGAGCAACTACCTCATGATATTAAGTAAATGGGCTACTTGGATTTTTACTCGCCCTGTAGACGGTACTTATCTATTACAAGTAGCAACTATTTATCGAAACCAAATACGAGAGTTCCAGTATAAAAATACCAAACAGCAAAATGCATGCCCACCAACCGCGAGCTTGAATAAGGTACTTTACTAGTCGAGTCGTAATTGTTTTGGAAATAACTGTCATTCTCTTATTTCTAACTGTTGCTACGAACCCACAGTGAGTGGCCTATCACATGAAATTTTAGCTGAAATCCGTTCGCGATTTGAAAGGATTAATCAGATGGCGTTACAATATTAGTTATTACGCGGCATAGCCCCATAATATTCCAGAATTGCCGGGATATAGACTTTTAAATACTTTTCTTCTCGACCTCCCGTAAAATGTAAAGTCTGTTAAAATGACTACTTAAATACTATGCATTTTTACATAGATTTTTGATGGGTTTATAAACTCAAATATGTTTTATAGAAAACATGCGTAAAATACGCTTTCTTTTACTCATCGGATTCTAAATCATGTCTTCTTCGCATTTTATACTCAAAGAAAGTGTGTATTGTCTAATTCCTGAATAGTTTTGAGTCATGTCTACCGCTGCATTAGCGGTCAGCGATTGCATTCTAGACGGTGTATATTTTTTATTTAGAGGAAATCTCTCTGCGCCTTTAAGCAGACATTATTCAGAGTCCATAAAATTTCCAATGGATGTGGACTATGTTGCATACTCTAGGGGAACATCAATAAACAGACAAGCTCGATGCTGCATGAACAAGTATCACACAGACTGGAAAAATCTTATAATTAATGTTTGCTTAAAACCGAAAGATATTGTTCATTTAAGTAAAAAATATGAAGAAGATGTGTCTTGCTATCAGGTGAGTAAGGGAAAGCCTATTTTATGCATGTTTTCTATAAAATATGTTTATATTTATAAATCTATCGGAGGTTAGTGTGTATAATGCATAATATTTAAGTAGTTATTTTTGATAGAGCGCACATTTTACGGGAGGTCGAAATGTGCATTCAAAAGCCTACATCCCGGCAAGTCTGAAATATTATGGGACTATGCCGCATAATAATTAATATGCAACGCCACCCAATTAATCCCTTCGAATCGTAAACCTATTTTTGAATTTCAGATAGCATTTCATTAGATAGGTCAGTCATGATTTTGGGCTACCGTTCTGCTAAAAACGCAGGATCAGGTGATTGGTTTCAAGTTGCGTAAACGTTCACTTACAGGTTTGTGCACTGTGGTTAAAGCTTCCAGTCACTGTACAGCTTTCATTGCATTTTCATCAGTATGGTCCTTAAAAGCTGACTCAGATCTCTTTTATAATTCATTATATGCACGGCGTAAACAGCTACTGGTGGCATTGTCACAAAAACGCCCAAGTGAACTTGAAAATGTCGAAAATGTGCGTCTGCTCTAAGCCATACGTCTTCCGGGTGCAGTGTTTTGGCACTGTTAGGGCGCGTTTTTCGGCGCAGTCGCCTATTTTTAGTCTTTTATTTTTAAATAATTTAGTTTTTGCTTACATGTGTTACTAAAGCTCGCTGCTTACGATAACGAAGGTTTGAAAAATGCTCACAGTTTTCAAGTTAAAAATCGAGTTGTCTATGAGATAATTTGACACTTATTCCATATGAGCAAGGAAGATTAGCGATAAGGCTGGCTCTTCCGCTTGCTGTGAAGGTGACAACTGTTGGAGAGCTGCAATTTGTTCACCGGTCCTGTCGGTCCCAGCTGAAATGACTGGAACCTGGTATATACCGCATGGTAGGCTGGGTGAAGATCAATACTTCTGTTGATTGGGCCAATTGAGATCCAACTTTCGAGCACCAGTCTGGCCACCTTGTCAGTGGCACGATCGATGACGCTTACTTCCCCAACGGCGAAACTTTGTTTCGCCTGTTGAATGTTGCCATATACCATTGAGAGGTCACCCTTGCGGTTTACTGCTCATGCAATCTTGTGCTGAGGCGTTTGCCCGTTTCACCAACATAACTCGCGCTGCAACTTTGGTACGGTATGCTGCAGACCACTGCTGATTGGTCCGTTGCTGGTAGCGGTCTTTAGGTCTCATTAACTGCTGCCTAATAGTGGATTCCGGTTTATGGGTCACCCCAATCCCAACAGGGTTCAAGATTCTAGCTGTAGTCCCTGAAGTGTTTCTCGCGCAAGGATCGCGA